GTCCCCCAATCATCGAAATAGTTCGAGTTTCGGATTGTATGAAAGTGAAGATAATAATGCAGCCTTGTTTCCGTTTCTGTTCGTAAAATAATGCCGATGCACAAGAAGGAAATTCGGACAGACTACAGTTGTAAGGATATTGGATAGATGCACAACACAACATTGTCTGTGATAGTCACATCACCCACTGTTTCTAACCGCTGACCCGTAACAAGACAACTGAAGAACCTAATGCGACTTACATGTACAAGTCCAGCTTTTCATATCCGCATGTTAGGTCCCCGAAAACACCCCACATCCGGGCAGCCTGTTTGGCGACTTTCGTATCACATGCCCCGGCCAACGTAACCTGTTCAGATGGAGCACTGGAACAGGCAGGTGTAAAAAGTTTGTGCGATTTAGAGTGAGCTGACGATGTCGTTCGTCTATTCCAATGAACAGGGGGTGCACAAGCACTCTGGACAGAATTTCAAGTTCTGTAACTCCGTTTGCTATTCGCTTTACACCGTCAAAATGCAAAGTGATCGTGCAAGACTCGGTGTCTTCTACCACAATTCCAGATAGTCACTAATTATTTATAATCATTTGTTTCCCCTACTCAGTTTGTTGGATGAGAGATGACGGCGGCAACCGCTGGCATTTCCAAGACTCGCACATTGCACATAGGACTGAAACACCTTTGGTACCGATATGATGTTTCCTTGAAACTGAAGGTCGCCTATAATGCACCACTGTACAACCAGTTCTGCTTTACGGTTGTGAGAACTTGAATTTGTGGGTAGAAGACATCTGTCGCCTAGTAGTTTTTGATAATCGATGCTTACCTAGTCTGGTCCAAGTGGGATGGAGTGAGCGGTTTAGTAACCTAGAAGTAAGTCGTCAGATGTTTCGGAATTTATCGAACAAGAACTCGCCATCACATCGAATCCAGCTCAATAGGCTCCGTTGGTTAGGGCACGTTTTGCGTATATCCGACGGTCGCCTACCGCAGCGCGCCTTATTTACAGTGGCTGTTACAGGCTAGAGAAAGCCACATGGAGTCCAGCAGACGACATGGGGACGACGCATGAAGAAACGCACAGAGCGATTAGATAGATCAGGTGTCTCTCGTCTGTCAGGTTTGGGTCTGAAAGACTGCAAGTGATTGGTTGTTTACACTGAAGAACATGGCACCTAACCAACAGCAGTGGCGTTCTTGACGTTACATCTTGTCACTTTGGAATACTTGAAAAGGTGTGTATTTAATTTGAGTTGTGTACTCTGTGTGTTGACCATAGGGATGTAATTCCTTTAAATCCCTCAAATCAGACACAGCTTCTGTCCATCTTAGTTTGTGTCCATTGTGGACATGGCAGTGCTCCACGAAGTTCAGTCCACTGTATCTCGCTGTACGATGATGATTTACTTCGGTTTGCGATCGCCATTACCCAAAACTCTGTACGTAACTTCAGCATTGCTTATCCTGTTTCACTACCCAAAATATACATCCTGAGCTTTACGTCCTGCTTCGTCCAGCATTGATTTATTTTTGTAGCTGACTTTTAACAGACTGTGTGGACATTGTACAAGTGCTTTCATCTATTCCGGGACCTCAAATTAGTCGAATTTTGAAAGGCTCAAATCAGAATCCCAGTTTTACCACTATAGAGGATATCAGTGCTTAAAAGCTGGAGATAATCACGATAAGTTGAGGACTTGCTTGAACCCAGCTACATACATGACAATGATAAATCAGCAAATTTATGAAAGAATGTTCAAGTGTTTATAGGATCAAGTTATTTGTTTCAAACCATGTACGCTTTTAAGCTTAAATGGTGGGCGTGATGCTAGTCACAGAATTTCATGGTACATTCACACCAGTAGACCATTTCAGGTTAACGTTGTAGCTAGCGTGTTCATGCCTTTACGCGAAGCGAATGAAATAACCCAAGACAACAAGGCATCCGCGCTTTTTCCGTTGTTTCCTAGCGGTCTCATTTTGGACAAGCTATAACACTCTGTTTATCTCCCCCCACGGAAGAACCTATTATTCGATCCCCTGCTCATTAATATGTCCGCATCTTGGGAACGATACAAAACTGTTATTGCCATTTCACTTTTTACCTGTTGCTTCAGTAGATAGATGTGTTGTGAGGTGCTACTCGCATTTGTGAGTAGCATGCGAGATAGCGTGGTTAGCGGTTTCCTTCAGCGATCCAAAATTAACCGGAAGATCGAGCGATCGACATCTCCAAGTATTTTTCAGTGAACTCAATTTAGAGAATATGTTTGCATGATCGCTGGTTGAATGTCTGCTGAGATCACCTCCAGTAAAATGCGCCACTGGTAAATACCAACCACTCCTACTGTTGTGATAAATCACACTTTGATGGTCACAGTTCTCTATTTGTGAGATCATTGGAATCTAGCTCAACGTGGGTCACTCAAGCCCCCAATCCATCTGTCAGTTATGGACCGGAACTGATTAACAACCTTTTTGATTTTAGTCGCGATAAGTTGACCCAGGTTTCTTCTATGAATTGTATCCATATAGTCGTATTGTATTGGGTATTCCAGACGTGTATATAGCATCTGAACGGTAGAACATTCGTCCAATCGGAAACCAGACCCGCAGTGTGCCACATAAACATTAGCCAGCTGAAGGTTTCATTTTCGACTCTCGTAGAAATGTATCGGCTTTAGTTTGATCAACTTAGAACAATCGCAGTCGGAATCAAATCCCAGACCACTGAGTCTTTACATTTATCTTGGTCTTGTGACGAATATATTCCCAAATGCTTCGTAGAATGATTATAACGTTTTTTGGACGCACATCCGAAATTATGGATAAGCGTATTATGAATGGAGCAGCATTTCCCAATTCAACACTCCTGCTAACAGATGTCTGTCGAAAAGCTAATATCCATTTTTCGTATCCTTTAGGGGGATAATGATACAGCTGAAGACGACAGATTCCCAAAGACCACATCTACCATGGACAATGCTGGAAGGTCTTGGTCGCCTCCCTCGACTGAGCTGCTTGATG